AGGCCTGATGCATTCTTAACTCAGGTTTCCCTAGCCCCAGAAAAAATGTAACTTCTTAACTGTTTTCATACAATGATGCTATTCTTTCTGGGTTCTAGAGTGTGTATTTGCAAGAATTCACTCTGGTATCTGAGTGAGACTTCTCTTGCAGTGAATGGGAAAGCGTAGAGTTCTCCAAATGGGCATTTGGAGCCGTTAAGGTCACAGGACTGACTTGCCCTGTGAATGTGCCTGTCCCCCTCCATTGGCTGGAAGGAGCTGAGATGGCCAGTCTCTTAAGGAAGGTCACTTAAAAAGCTGCCTACATTTAAGTGTTGTCAATACAACCTGCATGCTGCATGTAAGAGTTCTTTTAGTTCTGTTCTGTTAGTACTGTGTAGTTCAGAAAAGTTTTGGGGTTGGGATGTTCTTACCTTTTCCAGGTATGGGACATTGGAGGGCAGCCACGGTTTCGAAGCATGTGGGAGCGTTACTGCAGAGGAGTCAATGCAGTTGTGTAAGTTTTCTTGTGTATGCCCATACAAAATGTATTATAAAATACATATTATTAATATAGGTATGCTTTTGTTCCTGTCCACCTCCATCACATAAGAAGACCCAACACAATAGAAGTAGTGTGTTTTACACATCCACCAACCCAGGTGTATAAGTAATTGCATGTTCCAGCCATTTTTGCCCCACAGCCCGTATTTAATTCTCTCTCTTCCTGTATTAATAAATACAGGGTTTATACAACTCAGGACTGTGTTAATGCTGTTGTCAATGCAAACACATTTGTCACATTTCAGATGTTTTAATGTGACTTTCTGCAAGTAATAGACAATACTATAAATAACTATATTCCCATTGCAGTTACATGGTGGATGCAGCAGACTTAGAAAAAGTAGAAGCTTCAAAGAATGAGCTACACAGTTTGATAGATAAGCCACAATTGCATGGAATTCCAGTAAGTATTTTGATTATTATTCTTACCTGAATGTAGATAGTGTAGCCTAAATCCTCATGAATTGATTCATTTGGACTTTTGAAAATAGTAGCTTAAATGTGGTGCAGCATTGATGCATTGAGTGCTCTTACAAAAATTATTGTGATATTTTATCAGGGGACTCAGCATCTTCTCAGTGCTGTGGTGTGTTTGTATGTTTTCTAGTCTAAAGGTCAGAATAGATTTTGAAAAAAGTCATTTTCACATGTGGCATTATCAGACAGTAACTACTTCCAGTCAGTCCCCTTGTTGGCTGGGTTTGAACCAGTGACCCAAATATGTTTCTGGTAGTATCTTAAGGCATGTGAGGTTTGTTTTCCTGAAGGTTGGCAGACACTAACATCAAATAGTGCCCTCTGCTTCCAGAGATTGTGGAGGAGCTTGACTTTTTCTGTGTCCTGACTTTTTGTTCACTTTTTAGTTTTTCAAACTCAACTGTATGAAAAAAATGCTAATATGCATCTGTTCTCTAGTAGGAAGTGTCAAAGAATAATATATTCTGCTGAAATTCTGGTGAGGAATTATGGAGGTGGAGGTGGAGACTCATGTTGTTTAATTAAATGTAATCTACCAATTTAGAGCTATTAGGAATCAATCAAGTTAGCATTGATCTTTGATGCTGACATCACCAAGCAAGAGTTCATACCTTTAATCATAAGAAAGAAAGCAAGGGTACATACAAATCAGGAAGAAGTTACTCACAAGTTCATGGCTCTTGCTTGGCCCATTTTTTGTAAGCAAATATTTGGACACTTGGCTAGCGCAAGTGATCGAAGTCGTCTGAGGATGAGTAGACAGACAGCCAACATGAAATCATTGTGAGAATAAAGTTCTTACACATCCGTCTCAAAGGAGAATTTTTCAAGTGACTCTCCATCTTCTTTATAATATATGTA